GTGGGGGGCGGGAGCCCCCCGCCCTCCAGCCCCTGCCTTCCCGAGAAGTTTCCCCTCAGCCCGCTATTTTCCAACTATTTCGGTGGAGGAAAAAATAAAATAAAATAAAGCAAAATTTTCCCGTTGCAGGGTGTTTATTCCTATCAGTGGAACCGGCTGGGAAAGAGGTAACACCGATCCCTCGATGGCTCGGAGTGGTTCATAGTTTGGGGCTGGCTTTCTAGTAGTTTTCCGCTTTCTTTTTTGTTTTGAACTTATTATTTTCCAACGGGGCGCCTGAAGGAATAACAGGGTGTCTGAAATGCGGCTGGAGAGAAGTGCCTAAAAAGTCTGCCGCCCAGGTAAGGAGAGGATTGGGTTTCGTTTTTGGTTTTTTTGTTTTTTTTTTTTTTTTTTGCCGTGGGGACCCGAAAGGGAAATAAATAAGCAAATGAATAAATAACAACCCTGTTGTCTAGTGTAGACGCTGAAGGATATTCGCGGTGCATTCATCAGACTAATTTGATAGCAGTTCATAGATGGCACATTTCGGCGCGGCTGTTATTCCAAAAAGCATTCTGGATCGTAAAATAAAACTTACCGCGTTAATAGGTTTATTTATTGGCACTGCCTATTGCTTATTTTGGATGCTTTACAAACATCTCTGTTATCTGGTAGGCACCTTCACATCACAGGGGAAAGATTGATCTTGTTTTTCTATATGTTTAAACAGCATGCAGGCTAAAGTTGCCCAGAGCGGAGGCTCTAAGGGTTTTAAACTATGGGATGGACATTAATTTTTACGGCAATCCCATGCCCGAATACTACAAAGTTCAGAAGGTCAGTCTGAGCAGCGCTTCTTGGCAGCCCCGCGGGGCTGCTGGGATCCTCCTTTCGCATCGCGATGCCACTATGATCCTCAACCGCTTTTTAAATTTTTTTTTTTTTTAAATCATCACCACCAGTATCACCACCACCATCATCATTCGCTTACCTAAGCACTCTTTCTCGGGAGAGGCTTTGCTGCTCTCCGACGGAGCTGGAGAGAGCTCCTCTGCGGTGGAAGATGAAGCCTGAGTAAAAAAAGAAGCCTGAGTCTCGTCCTCCCTCTGGGAGACACACGCCAAGGGGCTGGGGGAGCGCTCCTCGTCCTCCTTCCTCCCCGCGTCCGGGACGGGAGGCAAAGATGGAGGCGTCTGGAAGCGGCCGGGGGGCTGCGGAGGGAAGGGGGCAGCCCCGGCCGGCCCCGCGCCGTAGCTCTTGGAGGTGCCATAAGCCTGGGAGAGGCGGAAATAGCCCGGGACGGGGACCCCGCCG